CTTCAGCAGACCTACTGCAACCAACATGTTTTAAAACACCACGTGAGTTGCCATACACTTCCGAACTCCAGCCCTGTTCACTTGTCTGTGTTCACACAATTTCTGACTCTTTCAGCGATTTCCCCATTTCAGCACAGCCACATAACTACAGAGCAACATCAGAGGCTTCGACAGCAGGCAGGACAGAGGTGAGTTGCCAGGGCAAAAGGCTCCCAGAGGCCAGCCAACAGCTCCTCTTGCGCTGCCATACAGGGTGACGTGCTGCATCCTTTCAAACTCATATTGCCATAGAAAGTCCCAATCACACACCTCTACCCCACGTGCCCAATGAAGGACTTAGCCAGAAACACCAAAGATTGTGCCACTGGGGAAAAAAAAAAACAACGTTTCCATTTATCTAAAAAAAAAATTTACATTTGCAGAAATGGTTAGATGTTATTTAAAGTCTCTTCTAACCAAACCATTCTATGATTCTATGAAATGTTAAAAGTCTCATGTTATAATCTAGAAAAGCATCCAGGCTGTGGTATGAACTTAAAATTTTCTTCTTAAAGACATTTTAGAGTAAAATGTGTAAGACGACAAACAACTACAAGTGGATTTTTTTCCTCCCACCTATATAAACTCTGTACATTTCAATGGTCCGTGTCTGTCTTCAGAGTCAGACTGCAGTCAGGCTGAGCATCCACCTCTGGGGCTTAGTTCTTGATATGCTTGCAGCTGTACAATAAATTATACCTCATTTGCCCCAAAGTTTATTCAGTCTTTACTCAGGAGTATTAGAAAGGAGCTATCGACTGGTGTTTGATTCTGCTGATAAAATACTGTCTTCTTCAGCTCCCTTCTATACCTGCTGGCTCTGAGAATTATTTACAAACCATTCTCAACTTTTTAGTGTGGCACATTCAGTCTTGTCAAGGGTGTTGGTTTACCGAAATCCTACGGTAGCAAATAGAGCTTATCAGAACAGTCTCACATGTGAGCAGAGGTGTCAAAGCAGGCAGACTAGTAATAGAGGATATGCACAAAAAACCCCAAGCCAATAATCAAACCCTGCCCCAAAAAAACAAAAAGGAAAGAAAACCAAACAAACCACAAGAACTAGTAACTGGAGACCAGGACACAGTTCACAAGCTTAACATGACGGATCCAGAACAGAAACCGTCTAACAAAAAGCTCCAGGCAACACCCAGGATTCTGTCTGCAGTCCAAAGAAACAACAGATGTGCTTCAGGAAGAACTCTGGCTGCAGGGAGCGGACAAGAGGTTGGAAAAAGGCCCTGCGCTAGGGATGCCTTCTGTGCCGCAAGAGCAGGCGGCAGGGCCAGCAGCGCTGCAAGCTCCCTCGCGTGGCCACGACACGGCAAGGATCCTCTGCTCACAGGGAGCAAGCACTGCCTAGGAATAAATAGCAAGTTGTATTTTCATGGTCCATTAAGTCCTTGGCTTCTTTGTTGAGACTACTAGCAAAGAGATAATTACTGCCAAATGAGGTGGTGGGCTACATGAAGTGGTCACAAGCTAAGCAGAGAAAAACCTCTTGTATTGTGAAAGTTCCTGAGAATTCACATTTCACAGATTTTCCTGAAAACACAGCCAGGTTAGCCCAGAATGCTGCTTGCAAACTCTGCGAGGACAGGAGAAACTCAGCTTCGAGCGCCTGCTCTCCCCTGGATTAGAGCAGGGATTGCAACTTCGGTTGTTGACATCCAGCTGAACACACTGACCACAAATCTCCTGGATTTTATGCTGGCTTCTCAATTTTGCCTGCTAGCTAAAACAATTAGGGCACTCAGCTTAGCTGAATGCTTTAAGAGGAAGAGTGTCTTGACCCCTTTTCACATAGAGAAAATGCAATTGTTCATACCGTGTAGCACAGCTCCAACGGGAAAGACAAGCCCTACCTCAGAACAGCTGATACCACGATGGCAAGGCACTCACTTGCAATGGGGGAATAGCTGTGTTTGAGTCTCTGATCTAAAACAAGTAGAACAGTAATAGGAACCTAAATGCACTAACAGCAGCTATATTTACCACAGTCAGAAGTTTTCAACAGAAATTTCCTCTTTAGTAAAACACACATGATATACGATCTCTCAAAAGACTTTGGATTCAGAAAATCAGCAACTTTTGCTGGGAAGAAAGAAAAAAAAAAAAAAAAAGCACATTTACTTCGAAAGTTCCTACCAAGCACTCCTGCCTGTCAGCTCATTGGGGTCTGAATGGAAAACAGTTCACGCCTCTGGATCTCTGGGGCACAGACTCCATTGGCACTGACCATCCAGGGTTACTAACCAAAACTGGGGGAATGCTGTATAACATAATATCCAGCACTTACTTAGCAAGTACAAATTCAAAGACTCTTAAAACATATTTGTCTAAATTATCCTCATAACACTCCAAAGCAGTCCCATTTAATTGGATGTGAACAAACTGCATCAGTGAAAATGCTGACTGAGGCTACCAAGCAAGCCACTGCAAAGCTTGGGAACCTTGACTTCCCCGCCGTACTCTTTTCTTTAGGGATCACCTCCCCTGCAACACGATTTTCAGTGTATGTGGGCCTCTGGCATTTTGAAGTCAAACACATCTATCTGAGGACAAAACTCTTCCTCAACAAATTCAGACAAGTTTAGAGAGCCAAGGAAATGAGCCATATTTTCAGAATGGTTCACCATTGTATCATATGGAAGTGCAGAACCAGTTCATATTGTCTCCTGCTCCTTTTGGCATGTTTCTTCTTCCTAAGCAATACTACCAGCTACTGCCACACAGATGGATTACCCCAAGGATCTTTGCTCCTTGGTAGATAAGATGCTGTATTTCTCCACTCAGATGCTATGCAGACTGATTCCCAAAACATGCAGAATGGATCTACTTACAGTCTTAACTAAGAAAAGGCTTATGCTCTGAATTTATCTAGTATCATGTCTCTTCCTTCTCCACCCCTGCAGCCATCTTCTTTGGAATGAGAAACTTGAGCACGCATTCGTGAAAATTTGTTTCCTTAGCTGAACGGAAAACCGTAAAAGCCTAAAGTCAGCTCATCCAGAAAAAGAAAGTGCAGCAGGGAGGAATGAATCTGTTCGGTAGCTCGTCGCCTCCTGAACGTCACCTGTCCTTCAGACTGCTGCCGGAACCTCTTCCTCAGATTGTCCGCTCTCACCAGTGAATGAGTGCTATTGTGTGCAGTGGCTATCGGTGACAGAATTCAATACCGAAGCCTCAAACCTCATTCCAGCTGCACATGGCCCTGCAGCCACTCGTCCCCCTGCAGCCAGGCTGGGCTGACAGTTCAGCACTACCAGCTGTGAGCTGCATGCCTCTGGGGGGGCACAGAGCCCTTCCTCCATCCGACCCCTCGCTAGGCTTCTCCGAGACACCGAACCCTGGGCTGGGGTCTCATCTCTGCGGCCAGTGCCCTCACCTCGTTTCTGGGAAATTGTTAAAAGGCACGTTAGAGTCTACCATGTACCTCCACAAGAAGTGCTCTTCAGCAGCCAGACTGAAAAATGCAGGGGGAACATCATGTTTTCCCCTTGTTTATCTCACTTTCCAGTAACTCAGCACAACAGCCACAGAGGCAGGGCCTGAACCTGTGCGTTAGGTAACACCACTATGCACACCACAACAGCCATGTAATTTCTCTACAGATTGAGCACAACTAAGTCTACCAAGGGTTAAAAAAACCTTCTAATTTTTTTTTTTTTTTGGTCTTTGGGTACAGAATCTCTTATAATAAGACTATTTGTATTCATACTGGCAGAGTAAACACTACATGTTCATGCCCAGGCAGCTCTGTGCTTGTAATTTCAGCAAGAACAGAGCTACGTCCCTGAGGGACTTTGCTATTTCCCCAGCCACCATCCACTCAAATGCTGAATGAGAGCAGAGAAAGAGAGAAAGATGATGGCATAAGCCTCCACAGCACTGCAGCCTCAGCTTTCACTAAGAATGCAGGGAATAGCTCATTTCAGGTTTAATTATACTAGTTAAAACATTTCTCCTATAGGCCAGCAAAAGACAAGGACGTAGTGCTCCCGTAGTCACCATTTACTGATTAGGTTCAATTTGAAAGCATCGTATTCAAAACCTTTCCCTGACAAGATATAGGCAGTAAATAGTGATGAAAACCCCTGTTTCCTCTCATCACCATACCTGACGTTTTTGAACAAAGCTTTTTTAAGTCTTAAGCTATATAAATCGTAAAAGGATGGTGATGGTGCTAGTTCAACGATGCCAAGAAAAAAGAAAAACAAGTGATACCACCGCTCAGAACTGTTCAAATTTAAACTACTGTAGGAACATTTCACTTACTGAATCCCACCTAACCTAGGCAAATTTAAAAAAAAAAAAAATCCCACGTCTTCTACTAGTTAGCTTTATTGTCCGGTCATTTCAATGTTGCAATCTTTGGCTTGCTAATGTAATGACCCACCAGCAAAAGCCCCCCACAACAGTACAGCCTCCTCCTGCTCGAGCTGAAGGAGCAACTCTTACCCGGACAGCACGAGCAGGTTGTTGGCCTCAAGTAAATCATTCACTAGAGGGGGTGTTGCACACACCTTGCCAGGGTGCTACACACGCACCACAGGGTGAGTATTTAAATGGAAAGCATAAAATGTTTTCTTCCGTTTTTTAAGCAAATGAAAACATTTCTGTTTAGTCTTGTAAAACATATTTTGCTCAAACACAAACCCCAGTTACCTGGAATAGCTGAATGAGCACTTTTTAATTATGAGGGAAAAACAGCATAGGCACAGGTTTGAAATGGAATCATCATTTACTATGGAGGTTAAAATACCCATTGTATGGAAGGTATTAATTTTTAATGAAACAAAAATCTCATTTTCAAGAGAAAGATTTCATCTGTGAAAGACTGAACGAATAGATTTTGTGCCTGGCTGGTAAATTTTCATTACAATTGTCAAATCCAGTCCAAAACACAATGTAATGCAAGACATGGAAAGAAAAGTAGCATTAAAGAAAGTGCAACTTGCCTCATTTCCTCCCGGCAGCCTGTTCATGTGCACGAGCTGGCCCTGATCATCCAACACCAACTCAGTGTACGTCAGCATGTCAGAAGGCAGCGGCGGGGGTGGTATGCATGATCATTCATAGAATCCCAGAGTTTAATCAAAGACTAGATGATTAAAAGATAAATTCTTGTTAAGAACATCATCTGCAAATATTTTTATTCAATCCACTGTGACTCAATATTCAAGACAGAACACTCTGAAATATCCCCCCCCTCCCCGAGTCTGACTGACAATATTCAGTGGATATCACTTACTTTGGAATTTAAACCATGAAACACAGTTTCACCCAAAGCAGTGTAATTCAAATTATGTGATTCAGGATAGAACCCAGCAATCAGATACACAATAAATTCTGCAACTCGTTAACACATTCAGTGATGTACGAGTCCTATCCCAGGAACTATCACCTCTGCACTGTCTAACCCTCTAGGAAGGCTAGATAACAGGGTGGGAAAACAAAGCAACATAAACAAGAAACAGAAGACGGTTTACATTTCAGTTTCTACTGTTTGACTTACTAATGGAACTACAGCAGCAGTGTATCAAGAGTCCTAATTTCTTTCAAAGTAGACTCAGTCCACAGCTGTATAGACCGTGGGGGACCACTGTTAGCCACTCCGGGCCACTTGGTTCCCTGACAAGCAAGGATGGCAACTGATAGAAGTGCTTTGCAGGTACAATTAGAACAACCCACCGGGCCTTAAGAACGCTTACCTGCCGAAACATCTCAGGTATGTCATAGACATATGATGTCCCTAAAGACTGCGCCTGGAATCTCTTGGACTGCAGCAGGTCTTTGGTCACATACGGGGTGTTGATCAGCATCCCATGAAGTGGTCCCTGTTTATCCCCGTATGCCTGGAACATAATCTGCAGCACAAAACACGACCAATTACTGCTTAATCCACTGGTTCCATAGACCTATCTCATCCAGATTTTACCAAAAATCATCAGCATATTCCAGACTGATTAGGCTTGTTTCTGTTCTCTACAAATATGTTAATACTCACATACCCTGTGACATCGTGCTTCATCATGCATTACTACCCTTTGGAGACAGTGCTGGACCATTACTGCACGGATCTGAGTATCACTGACTTATTACCATATCACAGCAGAAAGCAAAGTGAACGGAGCCACATCCCCACAGAAAAAAGCTTGTGACTTAGATGACTTCACATTCACCAGTATTTCCCCTGACACCGTATCTATGCCGATGGATTGTGATAGCTGGGAGCAGAGAGGAGAACTCTGTTATTTATGTAGTCAAACAGCACGGTATCCGTATCTCCACTGACTGATCATGGAAGCTAGGTCAAGACTTGCATATGTCATTTGGCTTGAAGTTTTGATATTACAAGTTAAAAAGATTTTCCCAGAGTAGCAACATGAATTATCAGCTGCCATGCTTCATGGCACTATATATTCCACTCAGCCAGGATGCAGAAGGAAATCCATTTCAGCTAAGAAACAGGAGGAGCACTGCTTAACTGGGACAACACTGCACAAATGCTGCTTAACAGAAACATGCCTGACAGAAGCGACACGATTAGACTGTGTTTAACAGAATGGTGATCAGATCTGATGTCACAAACAGCAGATCTTTTGCTAATTGAAGATGAATTAATTGAAGAGCTCCCTAAAATTCTGTAAGTAAAGCCTATTTTAGTTTGTAGATTAAAAATAGCAGTTCATGCTTTCTTCAGTCTTCACAAACGTTGCTTTGCAAGGTAGCTTCTTCAACAGGAGAAATATTTATCCAGGGTAACAAGTATTTGTGATAGCGCCTGTGTTTGGATCCGTTACTGCACTTGGGGCCCAACTCTTAAATCTCTGCAAAGCTTCAGAGCAGTTCTGTGGGAACTGGAGAAGTCTGTACTGAGCATTGCCACTCACTACCACAGAAACTGGGAAACGAGATCAGAGTCATTCTCTCATGATGAATCTATTTTTCCATTCTTCACAACTCACGAGAGTGCCCAGCACCCAGTAATGTTTGAATTCTTTGAAAAGAATTCTCCAAGTTCAAAATAACCATCTGAAAACACAGGAAAAAAATACACAGATCTGAATCTGTCCTATAAACCTCTGTCATGAGGAGGAAGATTTACCAAAGTTTCCTAAAAAAATAACACCTTCAAGCTTTGTAAGACAAGCCTTCCTCCCAACTACTCAAAAAGTGTTAACTGAAATAATTCCTATCAGTATATTTTTTTAATAGGACCTGGTTTAAATATCCTGGGAAAAAACTCAAATCTAAAAAAAAATATTGGAATAGTTGCTAAAAGCAGTACACACACAAGCCCATTTCCCTAGCTTTAAAAAAATAAAGCTCATCAGAGAAAGAGTTTAAGAGGAAAGGCGACCTTCACAAATGACTAACAAAACTCAAGTGTTAAGCTCAGCTACTGGAGATGATTAAAATGTTCTTGTCTTTCCTCACCTCCACTTAAAGGCAGAAATGAAGCAAAACATACACTGTCTGTTCTAGGCTCTCCATAACTGGACGGACTGTATGGCCAGGCAGCTTGCTGGAAAAATTTAAGTGGAGAAGAGGGGGAGAAAAGGTGACTCAGCACTCTGTGTTCAACATTAATGGTGCCCGAGTGATTTATTCTGCCGCTACCGCTGCATGGCAGAGAGATTATTACAGAGGGAGATGTAAACATTTCTGTAATTTAAATATTTTTCATGCATCCTATGCTCCATGTATTTTAGCATATGTAGGTATTTCAGTTAACCACACTATTCCTACGCCATGAAAAACAGAAATACCAGAATAGCCACAACCAGCCACTACAACAGAGCCCATTATGCTTCATAAAAATGATATAAAAGCCCCTTCAATAATTTTATATTATCCTACCCAGGTCATTCCCTGTATCTTTAGAATTTAAAAGACAAGAGAATATCTGTGAACTATCTACTCAGGGAAACGTATAATTAATAGTATTTTTTTATTACAACCTACAGGATGAGCATGAACAGTGATTACTTTTCTATTACTTTTTTGAGCACTCTGCCACAGAGGAAAACAGATGTACAAATGACTGAAGGTATGTACAAAACCATTAGAAGATACGCACTTTTACATAACTGATTACATTTTGCACACCTACATGCCTATTGCAAGATTATCTTTACATTCTTCTTCCTTTGGCAATGTTGAATGGCCATTTTGTATTACCTGAAAACATGAAAACATGCCAAACCACAGAAGAGCTTCATCAGCTATAGTGTGTCCCCCTCCAAATAATCTGGTCGTCAAACCATGGAGCAGTATGGAACCGTACCTGTCCTGTTCTGGAGTCTGTCACTTCTTTGTAGAGGCTGATGTCCAAATAGTAGCCCGACTCATTGGTCAAGAAGAGGCGAATGGGAATTGCCTTCCCCGTCGGGGTCAAACGAATGTTGATCTTCAGCTCGGCTTGGAGGACGCGGAGTTTCCACAGGCGACTCCCGTAGCGCATCACCATGCTCCGTACAGATTCCTCGATCTTAGAAGACATGAGAAGAATTTCCCTCACCTTTCTGGACACATCCACCGCTTTGTCACCCCTCCATCCCGCTGCTGTAAGGTCCTGCTCAAAGGGACACCCCAGTGCGCAGGGGGAGCATCACAGAGGAGAGACGCAAGCACCGACCAGCAGCATGTGCCCAGCGTCGTTCCGGGACCTCAGCGGGTTGGTTGTTCTCCTCCTAATGAGCCTCGAGATAGGCAGGAACGGAACTGAACCCAACCTGGGCACTACTGAGGTAGAGGGATAGCGCTGGATTCACATCCCTTCTTCCTCATGGCACATCACGGCCCACCAAGGCACAGCGTGCCCACTGTCTCCCCTTCATCCACCTTTCCTCCCGCAGCCATAGCTCACGGCCAAGAACTACAAAATGCAGGGAAGTGAAATCCTTGACAAACAGTTATGTAGCACTTATATGCACAATAATCATGTTTCACCGCACATGCAGTATGGTGCTTTAAATCAACAAAGCAATTACTACTTGGAGCTTGGCCTTCTGGTGTTCTATTAAACTTTATAATATACTACTGTTGGCAAATAGTGCATATTAAAAGAAGGCAATTTATAGGCTGTTTTTAACATTCTTTAAAAAAATAAAAAGTCTCTTTCCCACAGCAGCTCAGGGAAAAAGTCACGGTACACATTTGAGGGCAGGCTAACTTCCAGGGGCTGAATAGCCCAGCTTCTTCTGAACTTCCTGGGAACTAAAGATTTTGGACGCGTCAAGAGAGATTTCTTCAAAAGCGATTTAAGCCACCAATTTTTAGTCATGAATTAAAAGTCAGCAAGCAAGAGATACTTATTTTGATAACCAAGTCATCTTTAAACTTTCAGTTATTCTCATAAGGAAAGGTCAGCTCTCATCTTCCGGTAACCATGAACAGAATGTTGATTTCCAACTAAATGCAGCCTTTACGGTTTATTTGGGACTTACTTTGTGGTGGTTCTGCTAACCAGAAACATGCTTTATGCCTAAACACTTTAATTTATGCATCTACAAAGCTTAATGTTCATTTATTTGTAATGTTGATCTCTGTGGTTTTATATGAGAGAATGAAAATGAGGCACTTCTTTTTAAGTTCACGATTTATCTCATGTTTTACTTGGATAGAATCTGGACTTTTATAACAAAGAGAAGAGCATTTATAACTATTTCTGTATTAAAATTGTTTCTCTCAAACACACAATGAAAAAATAAGTTTAGTTTCAAATACAAAACATATTTTTAAGCAACTGCTCCTTAGTTTACACAGAGAAAGTGAGCTGCACTGCCTGAAGGACAGCGTTACTCCACTAAAAATACGAGCTCTGCTAGTTCTGAAATTTTACGTTTAATACTTATTCATAGATGGGAAGAAAAAACAAAGCTTTCTTCCTTCCTTCCTCACTGCCAAACAGGTTCCTAATGGAAACAAACTAATTGTTTGCCTTAACTAGCTAAAACAAAAAGTATTCTCTCTGCCTTTCAAGAGAAGTTAGTTTAGCAGCTCAATAAGCAATCTGTAGTTAGAGACGTAAGTTAGTTATGTGACCCCACTTTCTTCACTGAAAAATAAAAGGTCAGCATTTGTAAACTAAACTGACCCTCATGTTGCCACTTCTAACACCGGTCCCAAATTTCTTGTGCTTTCTGTTATAAAACAGCTAGTAGAAACTGCATGTCATTCACCAAATGTCATTAAAACGTACTCAACCAACAGGTGCACTTACATAGCATAAAAAGGCAACAAAAGACCATTTAATTGTGGTGAGTCAAGCCCAAGAAAAACAAACAGTTCAGAGCTGGGGAAGAGATCATACCTTAGACGGGTCCATGATGACAGTAGGCACGAAATTTAAGAAGATGTGATTGCAGTCAGTGCGCACGTTGGTATTATTAAATGCCACCTCCAACTCATCCATGGCTTCCAAAAGCAAACGCTCTCCCTCATTTTGCAGATACTCAAAGGAGGCTTCCTGCCAGATATTGTCAATAAATAATTTACTTTCTACTCAAAAATCACAGCCCAAGAATACAGTGTTTGGAAAACTGCAGAAGGACTTGACTGAGAAAACAGGTTACTTTAGTTTCAGTAGGACGTGGAACCCTGAAACAGATCCATCACAATCATACAGCCAGTACTCCCACTGCCTGGATTCACATACCCAGCTGGCTCATGCCCTCATTTCGGTCAGCATAAATCCGAAACCAGACAAGGCAAACCACTACTGCAGTAGTGCAGGAGAAACACAGAGAAACACCAGTTGCCTCAAAACGCAAGGATTTATGACTATCCACTTGGGCCACAGAAAAATCTCCTTGAAGCACCAGAATACTAGGTCTTCGAAGACATGCTTCTGCAGAGCCAAAACTAGCAAAGAGAGGGCCTACACCCACAGTACTCCATACATGTACTAAGTTTGTATGCAGGTTCCTAGAATGACTTACAGTGTTTCATCCAAAGGAAAGAGACCGTGTATGGGTGACCAAACTCACCTTGGTGACCAGATCTGAATGCCTGATAATAGCCCTCACGAAGAACCTGTAGTCCGTCACTTCTGTTCCCACTTCAACTTTAGCTGCTCCCAGGTAGAGGTGCATTTTGTGATTGGCACATGGAATGGCAGTGAGATCAAAGTTTCGCATTCGGTTCAACTCCAGCTGAAAAGCCAGAGCTGGCTCCAGATGACGGTAAATCCTATCTTCCTCAAACTGGAGGCACCCGGCATCACACATGTAGAAAAGCGTATAAAAGAAGAGGGTGGGTTAAGAAGCTGAAACATTGAGGATGGGAAGAACTAGAAAATATCCCTTATGAAACTTCATATTTAATTAAAAACCTAAAAATTCAGATTAATCCAATCCAGAATTTTCTCTCTCATGCAGAGTCATTAGCACTAAGAGCTGCCTTGAAGTTGCTGAAATATTGAGAGTAGAAGACAAACTGCAAGACAGCAAGTTCTCAAGCTCACCCCCCCAACCCTCTTTTTCACAGAAGCCAGGAAGTTTAGTATTGAATCACTGTACTGCTTCCAACATTCCCTTGTTACACTGCGACTAAAACCTGCATAAACAGAAGCGTCAGGTCAGACTTCCAAATGCATGAATTTTTATCCCCAAATACCAGAGACTCATCATTGCTACTGACATCAATTGCTGTGTGTGCAGATGACTGGCCCAGCAAGGGAGGAGAAAATACCGCACTAGGCAGTGAAGCTGGGCTGAAGTAGCTCCCACGCTCTTAAGACTGGCAAGGAACAGCTACATGAAAGAAGAAAAAAGCCAACACTTAGAGAAAAGTATTAAGAATATACAGCTTACCTTATCTCGGGCACGGAATGTGAAGAACTTCGGAAATTCTCTCTGTTTGAAAATAAAACCAATGCTGTTAGCCCTCCAAAAGTATGCCATTTGATCTACCCAGAGAGTGCTCACAGGCCAGACCTGGGGTAGCACCACAGCAGAGGAGATGACAGAAGTTGTTACAAGCTACTTTTTCAACATCCCAAAGGATGGTGGAAAATCACGTTACCCTCAAGAAGGCAGCAGAGGTAGTTTATACCTGTCTTCACTGCTAATGTAACAGCAGTTACTTGACTGGCTTTTGATTAGTATTGTCAATTATTAACAGACAGTAACATGGAACTGTCTAGACAGTAGTGGGAAACTAGTTCTATTCTGATTATGATTACTGTGGAAATGTTTGAGAGCCATACAATGATGTTAACACTCCATTACGTAAGCAGATGTACACAAAACAATTATCTGTATTCTACAGCTCTCTTCATACTATTACTGCTAGAAATACTCTCTTCCTAAGGAAAACTACGAATTGTAATCAAATAACTTTATTCTCATATATTAAATAGTACTCTACAAAAACCTCCCAAATTGATTAGTTTTCTCTGTTATTCTATCGCACAGATAAAATCCTAGTGAATGGTTATGGCTTTACATTTTTGTGGCATATTGCATGTGTCTTAGAAGAAGAGAGAAAGACTAGACAGCATCCTTCTACCTATCTGTCCAGTTTCATTTGAGCGAAGCCATCCATTTCCATGGAATCACACTTTTACTGGGTGGAGGAACTTTTGTGAATGCTTTGCACCAGCACGAGCATACCAGCCATTTATGCTAAAGGTGACCTGAAAGAGCATACACAACTTGCCAGAATTGTCTTACTAAGAAAAAAAGAAGGTATCTGACCTGGAGTCCCTGAATTTCTGAAACACATTTCACTATCAATAAAAGATTTGCAACCCTAGCTTGATTCAGTGCAACAACCAGTACACGGTGACAGGGTATAAGGCTCCACTGACCAACACAGCTTTTAAGGCTACAAGTAATCTAACCAATCATCTTCCTTACCTCCTATAAAAAACAGAACAGTCCCCAGAACTTCACCTGATGACTCTCAGCAGAGTAAAATAACTTGTGTTTGCCTGGAGTGTCTTCCAGACTAGCCAGTGGTACAAGAAATCCTGCCTGAAAATTCATGCAACGGGCATATTAGGTGAGCCTATGAGCATCAACTGTACTCTAAGAAAACAGCCACTTCCATGTTTCCTGACTTCTCTTCCAAATCCCTCCTACCTGTCCTCCTCTGCACGCTGCCAATTTCTCCTAACATCATCCATGCTCATTCTATCACTAATGTTATTGCTTCCAAGGCATTTGACTAGTGTTGTGGGCAAATATAATAATTAGATGTGCACACACACAAAAATTCTCAGTGCTCTGGTACCAAAATCCAAAAGAGTGCTCCATTTCCTAGGCAGAAGAATTATACCCCTGCTGTGTTCTAATCAACCAACCATCATCAAGACAATCAAAATAATTTGCCTAAATTAGCCAATCAAGACACCCTGCAAACCGCAGAATGTGAAAAGCTACAACAGAAATCATCATAGTTGATTATTATACTAATAATCACGTTAAAAACCTAATGAGATGAGGAAATTGAAAGCTTGCTGGAGCAACTCTCTATTACCTCAACATGCTGGGAACTAATTATATAGACTGTAATTAAAACAAAAACAAACCCGAGCCCAGGCCCTGGCTAAGTTAATAGTTGGTCCAGTAATAAACAGAATAGAATAGGAGATAGTAATAAAGACTGACACTCACAAAAGATCCCAGAGGTACTCTACAAACTTCGTGAACAGATGACATACCATGCTGCCTCTTCTGCCTTAGGAACTTGCAACATCCGAACAGTCCCTCGCTCTAAATGGCAGCTCAGGGAAAACTTTTTGTGATGACTCCTTTTATTCTTTGCCTCCTTTCTGACCATTGACACATGCTACAGTGCTAATTCATAGGCTCTTATTTTTCATTCCCCAAATACCAATTCAGTTCTCTAAAACTTCCTTTTTTTAAATCTAAAGCCTGGACTTTATTGCTTATGGTCCCAACACCTCTCCAAAGAGTCCTGTTTCCTACAGAAGCCGTTGATTGATACGTATCTGCACTCTTACTGTGGGTAGCTATTCCCATGTGGCGATACTCACATTTGTTCAAGTACTGTTTTTGCTGATTTGTAAACTAGTTTTCCTTTCGTAAAGCTTACTAAACCAGGTGTGTTGAGCACAGGATGATTTCCCTGCACTTTCAAGACTCCCAGTAACTTCCAGAGTTGTAAAGTAGACACATAAGTGATAAAAATCTGGTTTATGCCTTATATTGCCACCTTGAAAGCAGGGCTAAACTAGTCCTCACTGATGCCCAAGCCCTGGGGAAAGAAGTAATTCTTAGCAGTAACAGCATCAAACATTTTCCACATCACTAAGCCATTATGTGAAACTTAGAGGAGTAATTGAAGTGACTTGCTAAGTTATTTTAAAATCAGTAAGAAGCTTAAAGTAATCACCACACTACATAAGAAATACAAAAATTTAATTGTATAATTGCGTTTTAGAATACAAAACAATACTGACACAAACAAGATCTTTATAAATGTGGCAGCCATGAGTTCAGCCAGCCAGGTGACAGGAAGAGAGACTTTAGCATGCGAACGGCCCCACTGAACGCAAAAGGTCCACTCCTATGTTTGAAGTTGGACGTTTGTTTAAATACTTCACTTAACTCTGACACCAATGTTGGCATTAAATGCCTGACTAAGAACCAAATGAGAAGCCCAGAGTCATTTACGTGTCTCCTGGCCTCAGGTCAAGAATACCACCATGTTCTAGGCCCTTTTTACTTACGTGAAATCTCTGATCCACCTCATAGTTGACCTGCTTCCTGAAGTCCTTACCAACGAAGCATACAAGCACAGGAAGACAAGAAAAAAAAAAAAGCAGAAGAAAGCTAGCAATTAGGATGAAAATCAAAAATTAATTAATTCAAGAATACAAGAGGTGCCAAGATTGTTTACAATTGTAAATCAATTTTAAGGAAATTCATCAAAACCATCTCAAATTTTAGAGAACAAAAACAGTGAAGAGAAGACTAAATATAGTTAATATAGCATTTAATTTGGGAAAACAACACATCAAATGTCAATGTTATTATAAGCTAGAAACCAAAGAGTTTTGAGCAGCATGAGAGAGATCAACACACCTTTTGTGCTACAAGGAAAGTCAGCCTCCGAATCCCATGTTCAATCAGGACTGATTTCTGTAAAAAGGGAAGGATGGAATTAGGTGACTGGATTAACAGAAAAAGAACACATCAAAACCATGTCAAAGTCTTCTATGAACTGAAAAAGCTCTACAGATCCTCCCGCAGCTCTGCTGTAAGTTCCGAGTCCACTTCAATCTACTCATAGCTAGGATTTCTCATCTGATGACCACCTAGCAGCACACATAAGCAACTACATTAAATCTGAAGAGGTAAGTAACCAAATCACAAGAACATAGTATTCCAGCTGAGCCTCGCTAACAAGTAAAGCGGAACAATCGTATACAAGTCTTGCAGGAAATATTCTTTTGCATTTGCCAAAGTAAGTTGGTCTTTTTTGCAAAGATTACTTTTTGAAGGGAGCACAGCGTAGACCCGGTAAGGCCATGGAAAATGAGGGAAAATGAGTTTTAAAGGAACTAACCCAAAGAAGCATGTAGCACACTCAATTTTGGCACAATAAGCACACAGACAACCCAGACCAAAGGACAGATGTGTCAATATTGCAAAGGTGATAAATGATAGGTGTTACTTATTTTTTTCAAACAGATGAGAGAATATCCATTCTGGTTGCTTCTTTAACAAATTCCACTAAGCCTCATTTCAAACGAGTGCTGCCATCAGTATTTGCCACACCACTGATCTTTTGAAGTGTTAAGAGCTCATAATTCTGCTCCTCTTTCTAAAACTTTTTCCTTTCTCCTCCTTTTTCCAATTTAGAAGCAAAATAAAAAAAAAAAATTTAAAAAAAGAAACAAGAACTCAGCTAGATTAGGAGCAAAACAATCCCTTTTGGCACAGACTGAAATATTTTACTAAGGTTAAGCCCTTTGAAAATGAGCATCAGTGACTATATTCATGGCAAGAGGAAGAAAATAACTTTAATAATGCCATGATTTAAAAAGCAAAAATTGTTATTGCTTTTAAAATTCCACAAGTGTCAGACAATAACAGCATAGCAACAGGATTCTGATTACATTGTAATAATGTGGGTCTCACAGCAAGTCCACAGCTATTACAGAGCGATTAGCCATCAGCACCTGGAGAAACTCCATTTACACTGACTGCCTCAATCTCCTCCACAAGTCATTTACAAGTATATGATCCTAATTTCTATTAAAAAAACCACACACAACATGCTGGGACTAGAAGATTATTTGGACAATTTGGATCAACCTATTTGATAGTTTAATGTGTTGGGGAATTTTTTTTTTTATTTCTTTCTTTTTATCCCCTCCCATAAAACGCCTGGAGCATGATCAAGCAGATGAAAAGCAGAACTAGTTTTAATTTTTATATTTGATTATTTTCTTTGCTTAAAGAGACAGGAAGCTGCTGAAGTCACATGGATACCAGCCCCATTTTGGAACCCCTCATTTCTGCAGACCCCCCACACTGGGAAGTGAAGTTAGAAACTACTAGCTCCGTCCTCCCATAGTCACTGCAGGTATCACGGATGCAGCCGAGTCCCAGTGCCCGAGGGGCTATTTGTATCCACAACCCAGCTGAGGAGTTCCTCACACCAACCAGAAAAACAAGGGCAGGCAGAGCCCAGAGTGGACACAAGGAGGCTACCCCCAACCTGTGTCGTCTCACAGCTGACCACAGGACTAACTTTTGGTATTCTAAAGTGTATCCCATACTTATGAAGGAGCCACAGAACATACTAAATCAATTCCACCTTGTGCCAGAAATATCATACTAGCTGGATGCTCCAGCATGCCCACAACAAGAAGAACCAATTTTAATTGCATTAAGACTATTGTGATACAGAAGATACAGGCCATTTTAATGTCACTTTCCATGCCTCTGTTACTCATATAAGAACTTTACCATCAGAGAGAGGGATACAGCACATTTTTTCACAGCATCTGGAGGTAGATACCGAAGACCGACCTGATGTGTTTAAAACCTTAAAGGTCTTTTACCCTATCAAAAATTAAAGGGAAGAATTCCCGACCTGATGGATTAGAATGCATTGCAAAGAGAAACAATGATCTGGACACTTCAGAAAGGTGCAGCTACATCCAGCCAAAGTGGTAAGGTTTTAGATGGGATAAATTAAGGAGGAAACTGCTGCATTTACTTGTTTTGAAACAAACAAACAAAAAACTGAGAAACATACTGACTTTTCCCAAAGCAGACAGAACTGTCCTGCACAATCACACAGTTCCAGAGAGAGAATCAAGGCAACTTACCTTGCTTTGTGTGAACTCTCTGAACATGGCTGCCAGCCCATCATCATCAACGTCACTGTCTGTTTTAATAGCAACATTAAGAATGTGAATGGGCTCCTCCCGGGCAGTCTGCAATTTAAAGAAAATATTCCCCATAAACCAATAGTTAACAACTTAACATCTGTGAGTTCTCAAAAGAGGCTCCCTAAATACAGCTCTAAAATACAGATGCTCTAGGGAAAAATGACCTCAGCAGAGCATGCTGTAAATCAAGGAAAACTATGAGGGACATCCTTGACCAAGCAGCCTCACAAATTTGCAATTTCACAGAAGTAAGAGTTAACGTCCACAAACAGGAGCTTCATTTGGAGAATCTAATTCTGATGGTCACATCTGACTTGGCTAACTCAAGAGTGCTTCATTTAGATGCAGAAAGAATGCAGGGTCAGGTCCTCTCTTTACTAGATGCAGTACAGCCAGGACATTAGAGGACTCTGGCGTCAAATCAGGTAATGAAATTAAGCAAATTCAAAGAATAGGAGCAAAACAATGTGTGTTTTTGTATCAACAACAAAATGAAACAATGTGGAAGCATCAATTATATTAGAGCTCTGAGAAATGACAAATCCAGCATTTAAGAGCCTGCGGCTAACTGTGAAAAACTGAGTATGAACAGGAAATTATCCTTGGTGAGGTGAGGGGGAGGTAAAGGGAGAGATCTGAGGACATTAAGGTTGACGGTAATCTTCTGGAACAAGGCTACAGTACTTACACACATCAAGATCAATGGATCACTTTAAATCCAAGCCCTATTCTGGACACAGACTGTATTCCAACAGAGCTTCCTGCTGTTGGGGGGCAGGACAGAGCAGTGGAGCAGCTACCTGTGTCTCTAAGGGAAACTGGTCTCCTGCCACTAAGGATTATAAACCATCTGCTTCCTCTGCACCTGTTGTCCACATCAATGCAAAAATTGAGGGGTTCCTCTCATCTTTTCCTCCTAAAAACAGTTCTAAGTGGTAGAACAGAGGGAAGAATCAGAATGTAATGTGACCAGGAAGGGTGTAAGACAGAAAACAAGGCAAGTCAGACTTAAGGTAAAGGCAGTTGAACGTGCAGTTCAACACCCCAATGCACAGAGAAGGTCTGGAAACTTATTCGTGGCTCTGAACTCTCAGTTACGCTGCTATGGATCCAGTAATTCTGCTGATGTTAAAAGCTACAAACTAAATTTACATGGAGTGTAAGAGACTTAGCTGTAGTTTTAGAACAGAGTCAGAAAATGGCCACCTACTTTGAATCACCTGCTGTGGAACAAGCAAACAAATCACACACATAAATACATAAAGCTCTTAACTCCTGCTTCCAGCACTCGAACTAGTGAAAAGTATCTAGCCTGCAGTCACTGCGGCATTCTGCACGCCTTCTATTTCCAGTCTGAGAGTAATCTCAAGAGAAAAAACTACCATACCTTGTCTTCATCATACAAGGAAGCATGGCCAGCTTCGGGGAAGGTTGGGCTCTGGGGAGGAGAGTCGCAGAAGCAACCCATCACTTCATCAAAGATTCTGAAATACACCAGAGAAGTATTAGTCATCAACACACTGCTGCTAGCCCACTGAAAGCACATAGCACTAAAATCTACAAATCATGTTGCTAAGCGGGGGAGGAAGAGAAAAGGACTCCTTCCCTTTGCAGGACTCAAACTCAAAAGATGAGGAGGCAATACCTCCTCCATCCCTCAAGCCAAAGCAGAGCCTGGATCTTCTAACGCTTGTCAGAGATCTTACAGTTGCAGGTCCTCATGACTGCTATGGGCTCTGCTGGGGTTTTTTTGCCTATCCCTAGAAGGCTGAAAGCATAGAGAATGCATCCTTCCACACACATATGCGTGAATAAGAGCATTAGAAGATATCAGCACATTTGCAAATTATCTCCAATCAGCAGAAATTCAAGATGCTGAGCCTTCTGGCTGCAAACTGCTCTTACAGCAGTCTGAAACTCGGTTATCTCAAGGAGATAGACAAGGGGATCCAAACAAACTCCCACCTGAAACTCCAGAAACTTAGCAAATAAGCTCACAACCAGTTTAAACCTGACTCTAGACAAGGTAAAGATTTTGTCCAGTTCCATCTGGACCCACCTAGGAAGCTGGCAACACAATCGTCACCCTTCCCCACATACCTGACAAAATCTTCAAACGTGCGGAAGGAGACCATTCCACCCATCCGCTGGCACGGTGGAGTGAATGAATTGTCTAGCAGTACATCGCTCACGCTAGCTACATGGACCATCCCATAGTGATTGAGGTTGGAAGAGAAGGACATTCTAAACAGCAATTCAACAAGATCACAGTTAGTAGGGACAAGGGAGAGAGGAGTATCACTGGAAAAAATTTGTGCATGTGCATATGCTTTGACCACTTGAAGCATGGCCGTTTATCCAGTATAACTGTTGCATGATTTGTTAGATCCTTCATCAAACCAGACCTGCTGTGCTGTCTTCTCCAAAGCCCCTGCAATGCTGGCATGCCTCTCGTGCCATTCATGCCCTTACCTGGACGTCATCCCAATGTACAGGAACAGTTAAAAGAGTTAGGAAGTAATGTTATAACCCTTTAAAACAAGTATTTCTTGAGGAGTGTCTTGAGATGACAGGTGAACGACTATGCAAAGCTGAACCTATTTTTCCTCCTGTATGTACGTTTTGCTTCACAGGTGGAATACTGAGATAAACAACAATAGTTCTAAGCTTTGACACTTTAAAGATTTAGTGAATTTTTACAAACTAAGTTGAAGTGTACCAAGCTATATTATCGTATTGCTTCCAGGATTTTTCTGGTCATACTGTAATTTACACTCCTCAAATGCAGTGTAGTGTAGCGACCTCTCTAAAATCCTATACTGGAAACAGGGTTTTCTATAGTCTTACACTAGTATTCCCACCCTAAATAAAGTCCTATTACAGTGCCTTCCAATTTAACGGCTGACCAAATTCATGTGCTCCTCCATCTAACCTAATCCATACTTTAAAAACATTTATTTTGCTCAGTTTTGCTTGCTAAAAGGTGGCAACTGTTAAATACAAGGAGCAAGGATGGCGGAGCTCCAGACACTTACTACTGTCATACTCATGCCTGACGTCTGCTGTTCGAGCACTGAGATACACACATCACTCATACAGGACCAACTCCTTATTTAAGTGAGGAGGACTGGAACAGATTTACACAAGCTCAGAGGAAGGCACTGAGTCAGAGACTTCTTTTTAAAACAGGAGTACCCTTCACTAAAGGTCAGCATTCCTTCCTGGCAGAGGGCAAGATCCTGAATGTACTGAAGTTACCACTGAGTTCTCATATGGTTCAACTGCTATGGCAGTACACACCAGCTGTGAAATAGTTTGTGTTATTTTGGGGTCTGGGTTATTATTATTATTATTATTTTTATGTTTTTTTAAAGACCCGCAATGTTACAGTCAAGACTAGCAGAGGAAGTTTCTCACACAGTGAACAAAACGCATACAGCTAACTAGTCATCCTTTCCCTAGCTACTAGAACGGGGGGTTGCCTTTCTGAACTAATTATTTCTAACTTCTGAACTGTGCTACAGGGTCATCTTAATTCACTGAGGGACCGACTTCAAAAGCTCCCTGTAGCATGGTGAGACCTTCAAGCTTGCTCTGAAGAGACAGAAATGCCAAGTTGGCACACAGCAGTGCTCTGCGACACAGGAACAGTGCGCTCTCGCTGGCTTCCCTCTCCCTGGGGCTTAGGAAGACATTAATGAAGTTAAGTTTCTGTCCTCCCCAACTGGTGCCACAACAGGATGCAGAAGGCAATGGGGGGGAAAAAAAAAAATCAGGGTGCTGATTCAGCACAGCACATGCTTGACTTACAACCTGTAAAGTCAAAAAGATGCTCAGCTGCTGTACTGGATCAGACACCAGCGGCACAGCAGGCAAACCATGGCCCCAGCCGTGCTGGCTACGGCACTGCTGCCAGCCACACAGATTCAGGACCAAACTGTGGATTGCTGACACTGCAACTTACCAGCTTTACTAAGATTTCTTTCTTTCCACATACAGAAAAGCATGGTGATATGGTCCTAAGTACACTGTTAACAAGCCTAAAGTATCATTAGTTTGATTAATAGCTCTCCATGTTTAAAGTCACTCTATGTTTCTGTAATTTATCTCTGATTAAGAGCCATAAGACTTTCAAGCCCATTTTTACTATTTTTCCCTAAATAGGCTTGTAAGCAGTAATAAATAATAAGTATTCACCTTTTGAAAGAGAAAAATTTTTCAGGACATGCCTTGGTGTACATTTCTTACAACTAATACAAAAAATACCACAGAACAGTAACTAAACAAAAAGACAGCAGACATATTTCATGTATTATTTAGAACAAGAAATACTTTCCAACTGAGACACGGGAGGAAAAATTAGCGTCCAAAACACAACAAAACATGCTGTCAGCTGTTTGAGATGCAGATTCATCTATGGTGTGAGGGAGGTGAAACAGCCTCGACAAATTCTAAGCTAGTTGCAAGAAACCAGAGTAGCAACAGATATGCTATCGGCTAGGAGTAACTGCCTGTTTCACTGTGACACCCTACCAGAGGGTCAGCAGCTGGGAATCCACTTCCAAAACAGAGACCCTAGAAGCAGCATTCTGCCAGAAGTTTGCTGTGTACCACACTGCAGATGAGCCGAGTCACCTGGCAAATTTCATTTTAAAGACTGCTGCACGCAAAGCTTTTTTAAAGGGTAAAGAAAAGCTGAAAACATGTTTTAGACAAAGGGAGAGGAAAAGGGAAGGAAAAAGAAGAGTTACGTTTGAGAGCTTCCCAAGTAAAGATAAGGGCACTAAAACAAAACATGTTAAAACATTAAGCTACTTCTTTCTAGTCTGTCTTTTCAAATTTTAAAAGATGACAAGTACCATACCTGTTTAGCGTGGGGATGTTCCCTCTGTAATCAAACAACCACAGTTAGTTACAGATTGGTTAGTGAAAGCCATAATAAAGAACTATCATCAAGCTGATACGCAGACCAGCAACAAGTTTACAATTTACTAAACCAAAAATTTGTCAACCATCAGGTATCAGGCAGAATTCAATTTCATTGACCCTGAGAAGGCACCCACCACCTGACTTCGCTTGCCACGGCTGCCATGGGAATGAGCACAGACCATGCACATAACATGCAAATAATATACCCCAGGAAAACACACCGTATTTGCAAGGTACCCTGCATTTCTATAGCACCTTGTATCGTACCCACTTCAAGCCCTCTGCATACACCAAGTGAGCTTCACAAGCAAGACCAGAGTGGGGAGTTTGTACTCCCTGACAGAAGGGCAAACAGTACAGATGCAAAAAGTGACCTTACCGCACAGGAAGATTGCAACAGGTTCAGGAAAACAAGCCAAATCCTCATTGCCAAACCTCTACGCTAAGCAGCAGCCCACACGCTGGCTCCCACAACAACGCAGTAATAAAGCAAACGCACACATAAACACCATGTAATACTTTGCATTTTCAGCATTCAAGGCCTTGAATACCAAAAAGAACAAGCAGAACTTAAGCTAATTTTAGGAAAATTTTACAGTTCCTTTTGTAACACCAGCCCAGCTCTTCACACATTTGCATGCAGACTAGCGCTCAGTGATGCATGTAAGACAGAAAGGAGTTCAGGGGCCTATTTCCATACCAGCGTAAGAACAGCATGGTCTAGCCCACGCTAGCTACATTCATGAAAGCATAAGGTGGCACATTACTCCATGCAAGATGTAAAAATTGCTGTGATCTGACATTCAAAATAGTAAAGATCGAATCAAAAAAAAAAATACATGCACACAGGAGGCTTGTGCAAAGAGATTAGCAAACATGAAAAGATCAAAAGCAAAGCTTCAGGGAGCATGTAACCGGACATTCACCCTCCCCTTCCCTGCAGAAACCTGTAGGTGATCAAACCATAGCCTTTCTTAACATCCTTGACCATAGGCAAGACCCCAAGTTACTGGACATGAAGTCTTGGTACCTAACGACCAGTGTATTTCCATGGTCACAACACTAAATATACTGACTGCTCCCGGTCCTGTTCTCAAACTGGTTTTGTCACAGCAGAATCATATTCATTACAAGGTTGTATGTTTGGTGCATTACTGGTAGAGGCACGAAAAGTTCCCGTCACCTCCTTAAGCTGTACAGGAGAAAGCATGAAATGGCCTAAAGACATATCTGTTCAATGGTAAATAACACAAGTACCTAATTTCATTTGGAGACAGTGGGGAGGGACATTGGGCTGCAGAGCCTGCGGTTAGGACCAAAAGGGCCATGCGCCCTCAGGGGCTTAAGACTACTTTTTTAGCTTGGCAAATGGTGGGAAAGCTGCATGTGATCTACTTCAGTTGGAAAAGATATTCCGGAGGGGATTGCCAGTCCCTACACCTGGTACACGTGTGTAGCAGTCCCTGGAACGCTTTCAGCAGACAGACAGAAAAAAAAACCCAACCCAGCACAGCAAATATTCCTTCCCATCTCAAAAAGGGCATCCTGTTGCCTTGCTCCAGGAACTCTCCTCCAGCCACTCAGTACGGAGCTGAAAAGACTACGGCAAGAATCGCAATGAGGAAAACAGAAGACCCAGTGGCTGGAGATGTCAGAAAAGAAGGGAGGAATAGCCTTCAAGCTGCACGCTATGGGGCTGGCTTTATACCTACAGGTCGTCATAGCTGTGGAGGGCTTTTCGTAACAAGAGCTGCATTGTCACTTGTCACTGAAATGCACTGAGAGGTAAAGGTTTGATACTCGCAGTACAATCAGGCCCTGCGAAAAGGCACCACAGTCCACTGAGCTACACCCCTGCCAAATCAAATCAAACACCAGCCACAAGCCAGCCTGCTCAGCCTCGTGGCAACACCGGTGCCAAGGAGCAGCACCACGGTTCTGGGAGCTGCGTACAGGCACAGTCAATGGAGCACATGCTGACAGCGTTCTCCGCAGCCAACTCCACACCGCTGATCACAGGGTCAGAGACCTTCCCTCCACACCAGCCCCAGCCCTTCTCCCTATCTCTTTTGAACTTTTAAAAAGGCCCTTTTTGACCACGGAAGCTGATCTCACCAAGAATCTGCTCCATATCGATGCAAGCTCTACTGTTACAATTACTCCTGCTCACGCAAACAAAAATCCCCTTAGCTCCCCTGTGCGCCTCCTGGTGGAATCGGAATTCGCTTCCTCTTGCCCCCAACCCTCGGTTTTTATTTGTGGGTTTTTGGGTTTTTTTTTAAACAAGAGTGCTCCCCTATGAAAATGATGGCAATGCATGCAAAGCACCACTGGTTGTATCAAGCTGTGATTGAGTGCCAGCACAGGGCAAAGCTTTTGAAATCAGGCAGCAAAGCGGAATCAGCAGAGGTCGGCTGAATAACCCACTTGTAGTTATTAACAGCAGTACCACAGGAGAAAGAGCAATTCCACTGGCTGTGACCAGTGGCATTCCTCTTACGTTTCTTCGTTTCTGTAGAAGAATCTAAACAGAAGGCTGTGAAACATGCCTCAAACCATACATTTTGATTGGGTTTTTCCTCTCCCTCTTTCTTTCCTTATTCTTCTCCTCCCTCTGTGATTCAGCCAAGCTGAATCTGCTACTGAAGTCCAATTTGCATAAAATTATCGTCGTTCCATTCAGTTTGCTGCCCCTTCAACAGCCCCTTCTTTGCTCTGTTGGAAGATTTTGCCCTTTCTGAAACAGGCAAGCCAAGGGAACCGCAACACATTACTGCTGCCTGCTGTCTAATTAACATCAAACCCTCGGCACGAAACTGCAGGGATTTACAGGTATCCTGGAATCATTTCCCCCCTCCCTCCCGTTATCAGCCAGTCTCTCGCAACAAGGAGGGGACCTCAGGCTACCTAACGATACACTACGAGTTATACACTCGGGGCTCCAGGCCCATATGGTTAGAGTCCAAAGCAGCACAGCTGATTCAATACTAGCAATCCAGAGACGGATGCAAGAGGCTGTTTTAGCAACGACTTTAGTCCACAGAAAATGCTTCCATTTTGTCAGAAATTCAAATCTTGTATCATTGTAAAATGATAGTAGGAAGGAACCTATAAACACTGCTCCAAGTGTAAGCGAGTTTTGGCTTCTTATTCTTCTGTAAAAAGAAATAGCAATACTTAATTTGGCTTTCAGCCTTCAAAATGGTTTCTACCTGTAAGCTAAGGAAGAGGCTGACAAAAAAGAACAATCAAAATATTCCATAGATGATAAAACACCAAGAGACAGCAAAGGAGAGATCATGCACCACTCTTAAGCCTTGAAATCAGCAACATCGAAGTCCAAATAGGGTGTCAACAAACATCCACAAGCACAGAAAGAAGAGATACTGAGCAAAACCAAGCACAAGATAGTTGAGACATTTATACCCATACCCTTGGAAATACAAAGCAACTAATGACTAGACTTGAATTCCGCCCTTGGAAGCATCATGGACAGCAGGATGCAGTCCCAAGAATGAATTCAACCTAGACAGGTCTAAGTAAGGCATTTGCCTGTATGTCCATGTGTGCCGAGTTGTGTGCATTCCCAGTTCCAAATGTAACCAGGGTTAGCTGGTATCAGACATCTTGTTTATCAGGTTTCAAAAGTAAAACTTGCTTTAAAGCTAACTAAGCCAATTACCAAAATTTAAAGTCCTAATCTGCAGTGTTAAAACCTTCCTTCACTTCCACCTTCCAATGGTACATCCTGACTCAAGATTTCCCAGGAGATCTCAAGGTCAAGTGTGGCAGTTAAGGGTGGCACGTGGGACAAAAGGAAGGCATGGGCTCCATGCGCAGATGGATTGGGAAGGCATGTCTAAGGCATCAGAGTGAGTAAAAGAGGCTGGGGTTTCTAGGTCAGTGTCCTTTGGGGCTCAACACATTCAGAAGGCAGAGCCCTGCGGTATCATTGCCGTACCCAAAAATGAAGATATATCCAGCATCTGTAAGTCACCCTTGTCAGCAATTGTCTTAGCATCTGACAGAGGGAATACATTTACCTCTGAGTAGAACAGAGGGTTCTGTTTTGTGGGAACATATTTACCTCCGAGTTCTTCCCTTCTGATCCTCCAGCACATCTGCTACTGAGGAAGGAAAGATCAAGAGAGCAGCTGAACAGCCTGGCTGGGGGAATGCAGTGAGCTGGAGAAAAAGGGATGCTTTAGGAGGAGCAGTGCAGCAGCACGATTCTGCAGCTGGCTCCAAAAGCTGGCTACAGCAGACAATGTCCCAGTTTAAATTAAACCTTACAGCTTCAGATACAAGAAAGGCTGTTCGAAAGCAGGAAAGTAGAGGAGGATTATTAGAAGAAAAAACTTCTCCTGTTGAAAAAGCACTGTAATTCCCTCTCCCTATACTAGACACACAATGTTTCTTTGAACAGAAGATTTTAAGCTAAGATTAGGCAAGCACTGTTTCATGTGCTGAACACCTAAGAAAGGCCTTTCAGCGTCTGTCACCTGGCTTGCCATTCTCACAAAGGAAGCTGAACTCTCTAAACACCGGTCAATATTCCACCAGCTTCCCATCTCAGCAGGGCAGTCTGAACAAGAGGGAAGCAAAGAACAGCTCAGAACAGGGCTCATTTCTTTCTCACATCTTTTCTCACCAGGACTCTAGATGACTGAAAGAGGCAGGTTATCCAAATGCAAGGGGCTCTGCACATAAGCATTTGTTTGCAGTACCCTGCTGCAGCATGTAGCGATCAGCATCCCGGAGATACTCTTCTATCGCTTCCTCCAGATTGGATTACTACAACACCCTTTACACGGAGAGGGCTTGCAAACTCCATTTACTGCAAAAGGCACCAGATGGTTACACTGTGCTCCTCATCTGCCTTGCACCGAGCAATAAGAAATGCCAGTTTTTGCCTATAAAGCCCTCTATGGTTTCAATTATAAGCAGTTTTTCTCTCTATTTCTTACCCTTGCAATCAGGATCAGTGGGGATTCTTACAACAGGATGTTTTCTATTAATTTAAACAAATAATTCCCAAAACAGTTTCTGCCCACCAAACCCACCAGGAGCAGGCTGCATTTCTATGACTTTGTTAGCAGATGTAACAGTTTTTCTTCCCTCTCTGCTTCCATGTAAAGCTTTCCTGTGGGTAGTTGATGGCAATTGTTCAGTGGCCAAAAATACAAAGTCTGAGTGCCTAGCTGTGATTAGTCAGATCAGAAGTAGTTACTGTGACTATTTCTGTTACAATTAAGTAAAGGCATAGCGGGGTTAAATACCAATAACAAAGAATTTAAATATAGCAAACCGTTATCAGTTTGCAATTTTCTCTACATGAATATTCTCTCCAGCAAAATTCAGGCCCTTAAATGTTCACAGAAATCAGACACAAAAGGGACCAGGGCTTAAAAAAATACCTGATGAAGTGCTGAAAAATGCTTGGCATCATATAACACCAGCTCCAAAAGAGAATCCCCTCTTACGGGGTCTCTGGTATCATCTACTTCTGGTTCACCAGGACCTAACCCTGCAGAGCCTCAAGGGACATTTTGCTTGGTCAGCTGGGATATTTTGACTTTGGGGTTTCTCCGTGGAATGCATTTTCAGCTTTTCAGTCTAAAAGTTCAGGCTACAGAAGATACAGAAAAACATATGACATACGCAGAACACGGTCAAAAACAACAGAGAAGACTTAAGCAAGACAATGTCAGAGTTCTGAGATTTCTGTGTCTTAGGCTTAACATAAGGTCTGCCTTTACAGCCAGCTTAAATCTACACACTCAGTGCTAATTTAAGACCCTACGTATCCTGCTACCAGCTGTGGTTCAGCACCCAGCCACACAACAGCTGCACAGGTAGGTATACACTGCAAGAAGCTGCATCAAGCAACAGGAGCCAAACTCATCACTAACAGATGGAGGTGTAACTCAAAGGAACCGAACCTGCCTATGCAAGCAGTGAATTTGTCCCCAAGCCTGCCTGCTTCTGCACAAGGATGCGATGCATTTTCAGTCAACCATCAGCAGTGCAGATGGTTGAGAAGCAGAACTAAGCTTCAGAATATCGCCCCAGCAAATTCAGCGTAAAGGGGAGAGAAGATTTCAGGACAAAGAAGCTGTTCCCCAAGCAGGTAACAGTTCCCCTCTTCCAGCTGACCTTGTCCAATTAAGCTTGCGCACAGTAATAGACCACTGGTCGGCACGGGCAGGCCAAACAACCCCCAAGCAACAGAGGTAACTGAGTCCACAGTAAAGAGAAGAAATGGAGAAAGAAGGGAGTGGGGGGAAGAGAGTATTATAAAGGGGTACTAAAAATAGTATGCAATTATTTACAAATATTCTAGAAATGTAGGAAACAGATGAGACCAAATGCATGTCCCATTTGTATCATGAGTGTTTTGTGCTGCTTGTTGAGGACAGTCATTCATTTCTAGCAAACCAGATTCTGAAAACCATTTCATAAAATGTACTGATGGATTGTCAATGAAGCGAGACTGGACCCCGTTGCCCAGCCTCACCAAAAATAAAATAAGGAAAAAGATGCTTGGGAACAAAGGAGAAAACCAGCCCTGGTACCCGACTGCCCGGCCGGCACAGCCCAACAGCGGCACCCGGCGGCCGGGGACACGCACTGCGCCTCTGGGCCCCAGCACGCTCCCCGCTGCCCGGGACAAAACCAAAATACTGAAAACCAAAAAACTAAATACAAAATACTAAATTTAGACAAAAGTCTAAATACCCTCCTCAGTTCCCGTTGCAAGTGAAAAAACACGGGAACTGACTAACCTGACAGATGCTGAAGAAGTTCTGACAACCAAGTTTGGTCGGGTTGGTTTGTTTGTTTGTTTAAATGATCTTAGCAGGCACTAGGAGGTAACACACCATAAGACAGGGCAGCAAACAGTCGATGCTTTTGGTTGCAGTCATGAGAAATACACTCTGAAAAATATTGACTGAAAACCAAAATACGTCAACTCTAGCACTTCTATGTAAAATACATTCCTACATGCACCCTGGTCTTCTCAGTCAAAAACCCACGTGCTAGAAAAGATTTCACCTTATCCAGTTTGAAAGCAGAGCCAATCACAAAGAGTCACAAAGGGCTGGCAGAGGAGCGCTGCAGGAAGGGGACAGAGACTCTTTGACTTCATCACTAAAATTCCAAGCAACTGACTGCTCTGTCTGGAATTGTATCATTTGGAAGGCTCAGGATTCAACTAGAACTGAAGTTCTAAAGGAAAGTTACTACACAAGCTGAACCTGAAGATCAGAAAATACAGGAAAACTGTATCATATTTAAATTAATCCAAACTGCAGAAACTACTATCCACAGCTCCTGAGGTTTTAAATACCTTAGGAGAAGGAACTGGGTAATGTAGGGTTTTATCTTAAGCCACTTGGACTCTCCCTTTCTCCACCAATTCTCTTGCAAGTTTTCTTTGCCAAGATAGGATGTAGCCCCTCATAAACCTCTGGTTCCAAAGGCGCCTGAACACGTGATCTGACCTGTTTGGATGCGACGTAGGTAGCATGAACTGGAACTCCACCACACAAGTGTTATCCTTCAGCTGGCGATGCTGGACACTATTTAACTCGTAGGCAATATATGCCCTTCGAACGTACACCTGGTTAAAGAGAAACTCGATCAGGTTAACTGTGCTAAGGAAGCAGAAAGAGAGAAAGAAGATAAATAATACACCAGAGACTTCAAAAATATTAAAAACCAAACAGATACCTCCAAATGAATATCTAGAGAGAACTCTAATTCAACCAGAATTTAAAGTTATTCTTTGAGGAAGGCCACTCTGGCAGGATACAACCATCAGCAAGCACAAGGCACACAGGGTAGGCTGACCTCATTCTCTGACAGCAGCTTCACTTTCAATCCTTTCAACCACCTAAGTCTTCTTCAAGCAAAGAAGACAACTTGAATCTGAAATTTCAGTCAATTATGAATATTAGTGCTGTTAAATGCCAGACTCCAAGTATGCCAGATTCCATACAACCTACAGCTCTCAATCTCGCAGAGTAACAGTGCTCAAAACAAAACAAAAACCAAAAAAAAACCAAACCAAACCCAAAACAAAAAACACAGAAAAATTAAAAATATTTCTTTTTTCAATGGGAATAAGCTTACCTCCAAAGCTGCCATTCTTACCACCTGGTTACTGTGGTAGAAAAAGTTGGGTAGCACATCAAAGATGGATGTCTCGGACAAAATGAGTTTCTAGAAGAGATCACATTAAGCAGTTTTAAAAGAGAACTGCCTGACTTGCAAACAGGGTCAGGCAAAAAAGCAAAAACTCCAAGTCAAGCCTGACTAGTTCTGATTTCTGTGCTTTTCCCGCTGCTCATCAGGGATTATGACCTTTTTATATTAAATCATAGAATCACAGAATATCTCAAATTGGAAGGGACCCATAAGGATCATCGAGTCCAACTCCCTGTTCCTCACAGAACTACCTACAACTAAACCATATGAGTAAAAAGCGTTGTCCAGATGCTCCTTGAACTCTGACAGGCCTGCTGCCATGACCACTTCCCTGGAGAGCCTATTCCAGTGACCACCCTCTCAGTGAAGAGCCTTTTCCTCATGTCCAATCTGAACTTCCCCTGATGCAGCTTCATCTCATCTCCTCCTGTCTTATTGCTGGTCACCAGAGAGAGGAGATCAGCATGCCACCCCCCCTCCACTGCCTCCCTTGAGGAAGTTGTAGACTGTGATGAGGTCAGTCTGCTATCAGTATAGGAATGAAAACAAAAATGAGAGGGAAGCTAGAAACCAGAACAATACAATTTAAAGCCACCTTGGGACTACAGGTGAGATTTAATACAGGAACATTAAGATCAGTGAGAAGAAAGCAGGGAAACAAGGAGAGAAGTCTGGCAGGTACCTGCAGGTTCTCAATGCAGAACTGGTGTCCATACATGTCAATAGCGGACAGGAAGATGGACTCCACCTGGTTGTGACGCAGCTCGTAGGATGGCAAATGGGAAGCGATGAGAACCTGGTAAACAGCAAACACAGGGAGTGTCCGTGAAAGGGGCCACGCTGGGCCATCGGCAGGAGGCTGTTACCTCCAAGGCAGCAACAGTCTGCTCCATCCCAGAAGAGGTGACTGGTTTCTCCTGTGAATTCTGTGGCACCTGGGTGATGCTGCAAACTCTCTCCCCTCCCCAGCCTCATTTGTGTATCTGCTCAGTTTGTATTATTGGCAATTCCCCATGGAGAAAAGGAACAGCTTCAATCAAGTTCCATCAGTGCATGTGATTTAGCACTGCAGAGCTGCTAGTCCTGGGGATTGCCTGACCGGCTGTTAATTGGAAAGCAGGTCTGGCAGGCAGCAGCTGTGGGGAGGCCAGCAATGGAGACCGCCTTTCACAGCTCCGAGCAGAGGAAGCAAGAGACACTGGTGCCAGATATTAAATGCCCAACATGAAGGATATGGAGATAGGAAGGGAAGCAGCTTGCAGGGGAAAATGAAGTGAAAGAGCAACATAAAGACATACACAAGGACTTCAGCACCATCCCCAGCATGCTGCTGAGAGGTTCAATAACTGAATGGTTCAAGGACACAAATACAATCCTGAAGGAAACATAAGGTCACTGAGCAGCTTCAAATGCCTCATTCATTTTCAACAGTCAAGCTCTGCAATAAAAGGAGAGATCCCCAACGTGTCAGCTTTCCTGCTTAAGACTTTTAGAATGGAGATATGGACTGTTGAGTGAGAGGAGTGATCAGACTACAGGGTTAGCATTACCATGAAACGATTATGCCCTCTCACTCCTTCCCAGCTACAGACTAACTGCTAAAGAGGAAGCTCACAATAATATCCAGGTGAATATCTGGCATTCGAATTATTATCTGTACTAGACTCTTGGAATTAACAGTATCAAGAGTTTTTCCAAGTATTTTCAGGTTAAAATAAATTGACAAAACGCAACTCAAAAGCCAGAAGAGACCCTGCAAAAGACCAACATAATTCTTGGCAATAATTCCTCAGCAGTTGCAAAGAACATCTGGTTCTTGCGTACATTTCTCTCCCTGTTCTCTGCACACACTGATCCGCAATTGTAAAGGCAGCTGATGAACCCGGATAGCATCTCCTGGCTGTTTACTGTACAGCTGCCTGCATCTTCCAAGCAGCCTGTGCTTGTCGGGTTCACAGATTACAAAGCCAGGAAGAACCACAGTAACACCCTCTATCGCACAAACCATAGGCTACAAGTAACTCCTATTTGAGCCAGACAAAATTTTTTGGAGGAGCAGGGACAAAGGAATGTAATCTTAACTTCAAATTTTACAGCAATTGGGAATCCACTGCAATCTTTGTTAGACTGTCACAACGGTTAATCATTAGTTAATTAGCTTCACTGTTAAAGCACTGTTCACAGTAATCTACTCTTCACATTTGCATAGTAATCAAAATAAACATCAAGAGATAGATACTTTACAAAAGAGCGAGCTCCAAGAGGGAGCAGCCCATATTGATCTGACCAGCAATGGCACAGTCTCTCTCCAGCAGCGATCAGCTTGGACTGCTAAACACGCTCCCTTACCTGCCGTGCTCGCAGGGCCACTTTAGCGTTGGTCGTCTTGCTGAGCTGGGTCAGCTCTGTCAGAATATTAATCAGCTCATCTGTCAAGGTGGGGTCACGGCCACATAGCTGGTCCTAAAAATAAAGAGAATTCAAAATGCTTAGAACAGAGGAAAACCATCTTCCACCCTCCTACAAAGGAGTTTAAACCTGAAATACATACACACATGCACACGGGAGCCGGACCACATCACCTCTAGAGGTCCCTATCTAAATTATTCTGTAATTCGGTGCTGACAAGGGTACAAGTACTAGGCTTCCATAATTTTACACATATAAATAAAGCTACAGAGGAAAGAAGTGACTGGCACCATCACCCATTTTCTTATTTGTAGCATGTGTTTTGGCATCCAAACACATGAGAAATACTGACTTGTCAAAGGAACTCAAGTAAAACATTTTCCCGCTACCCAATTTCAGCTTTGTATCAGAAGTCTCCCCTATTAGCAATGCAAAATTCAAAGAGCATTTAATTGTAGCCAAACACCTTGTGTAGTGTGCAAAGATTAGCAAGCTTTCACCGTGAAACGTGATCAAACAGGAAGAGTTTAACTGTCGGGAGAACCTCCTGAAGTCCCCTTGAAAAAACACCTCAAAACAACAACAAAAAAAAGCCCCACAACTCCACAACCACAAACCAACCACATACTTTGTACAGCTTCAGCAAATCAGAAAAAAAAAGATCCTGTCATTCCTCTAACAAGGCTAAGCAAAGCTAACTAAAACCATAAACGATATAATGTGTTCACTGCCGCAGTACAGGACTGACGCTGTAACGTTTCTTCTCATCAGAGAATCCTGGTTCTGAGGAAGTTCACTAGCTTACTGGACTAAGTTGGCTAAATAAAACAATGAAACTGGAACAGCGTAATTTTCAGTGTTAACGCTGTTTCAAAACTCCTTTGGATTCAGACATTCAAAAAAATGCAAGCAGTAAAACTTTTATCTGTTTTGTTTTCTGAACAAAGGAGGTGCACTCTCACGCACGCTTTCTTCCAAAAATAGTTTCATTTCCCTTGAATAATCCCACAGTCTTCAATTACTCACACTGGCTTGTGAGCCTCCTCCCTCCCACTCCCAAAGCTGGAAACCCTCTAGGAGCCTCTAATGTGTTTCCTCTATACAGCACCTAACAACTTTTCTCTTGGTAAATGAATCATAGGAGGAAAACGTGAGACAAAACAGGGATTTGCAACAGGAAAGAGAACTGGTGCCTTGAAGTTTTAAGAGATTTTAAACATACATTGAAGATCCAAGAAATAGAAAGGGAAAAAGGTAAACCTCTGCGCAGCAGGTTAGATTGATAAGCCTGCCAGGGAATATAAAGTAAAAACCAAAAACCAAATAATAGAAGTCCCATAGACTGACTAACAAATAACAGCCGATACTACATGCGATTCCAAAGCTAAATAGCTTTTCCCCCACATTGCTCTTGACTCCTTTCTCTCCAACCCCACTCAAGCAGGATGCCATCTCTAGGAATGATGGCGTACATCTCTCACGGAGAGAGACCACAGTCAAACCACTCTTGTTAAAAAAAAAAATAAAATAAAAATCTAAGCTACTAACGCTCACTAGATCATTGTCCCCTCCTAACCAGTCTTGGGCCAGCAAACATTACAGTGATTGCTCCCAAAGAAAGTTCTGTAAATTTATCCACTCCAGGTCACTGTGTGAATTCACGGTGAATAATTCAAGAACTGCCTTCATCATATTTGAAGTACAAATTCCTGGGTGTTGTAATGTTACTGCTCAAGGTATCAAAAATCTGACAGGACACAGGACATCTGCCATGCCGCAAGCGATTCTGTCCAGTTACGGCTAGCATGTGCATGCAACAGTCAGTTAAGTACATAAAATGAACATACAACTTCAAATCACACTATATTTCAACAAATATATGAAGGATGAAGTAGTTCCCATCCTGCCTTAAATGCCTGCTAGCTCAAAAAGGTGAATGATGGCAGCATAACACTATTACTAAAACCATCCTCAGAGCCCTTGTTAATAATGGATTCCTAGGGATACATCAATAACTGCAACATAAGCATCAAGGCATTTTGACATGACGTTTGCCCTTGGAGGACAAACTTAAACCATCCCACACAAATAGCCTGGCAACCCATAAAATGCCACAGCCTTCACCATGATTACACCAAATGTGCCACAGGGTCCCTCAGACACGAAGAGTAATGCGAGTTGGAAGAAAGAGGAATGACAGTCTTCTGGTTAACGGCGTGACCTGTAACTCAGCAGGCGGTAATCCCTGGCTGTGCCACAGACGACACTGTGACCAAAGGCCCGGAGCCCCTCCTGAGCCCCCGCTAGCCATGCCATCCGAGAAGTCCCTGTGATCCAGCGGTCGTGTGAGGGCAGGCGTCCATTTGCAAGGCCTCGGGCACCGCCGCCGGCAGAGGCCGTACAAATGGCGCTGGGATCACCGGCTAGCTCCCCGGCTGTTCTTCCACCAGGCACAGCACCGTCTCTCCAGTATCTTTTAAGTTCTAGCAAACTGGGCTGTCAGCCTTTACTTGAGTAGAAATAACTGACAGTGTGGGGAGAATAACTACACAGGAGGAAAAAGGAAATCTCTTTGACGTTTCTCTGTGTTCCCCGTCTCCCAGCACGCCCCTCACTCCCTCACAGGGATATTGTGCCGGCCAACGTGAAGGCACAGCAAGGCTCTGCCTCCAAGACAGGGCTTGCATGGAGGTGAAAAACTAGACAAAAAAGTTTCAGTCCCGTTTTAGCAAGGAACACTCAGGATGACAACAACAAAATAAAGCAGGTAGCTGGCGCCGCACTGGCTTTTGCCTGCACTGATTGGCAAAGGCAGCGAGCAAAGCCTCACACCAGCTCTTTGACAAGGCCTAACGCCTCCCCGGCACCCCCGTGTAATTACACACTTGAGTGACTGGACTCTGAAGAAAATTGAAGGCCTGAGCTGCGAACAGCTGCCATTTTCTCTCTCCATCACGCCAGCATGATTACTTGAGAAATGAACAGCCCCGGCTCAAAGCTACTCCAGAATTCTCAGAGGAAATATGGCTCCGTGTTCAAATAATGAGATTCTTAAGGCAAGCGTTACTTACAATCACACCACACACCAAAAAGGGAAAGATAA